TGTATGAAATTCACCGATTGGGCAAAAACGTTTTTAAACTGGACATCCCCAGGGGGAACGCATGAGACCAGGGGGTGGGCAGGTTCGATTTCTTTCTTTGGGAAAACCAAGCAATGTGGTGGAATGTGAATGGTGCGCGCCACGTGGTGCAACATATGTGGCGCAAAGCAACGCAAAGTCATGCAGCGCAAAACACAGCAACGGAAAACACAGCAACGCAAAGCAATGCAACGCACTGCAAATCCATGCAGAGCAACGCAAAACAACGCAAATCCATACAACGCTACACAATGCAGAGCAAGGCAAAGAAGCAACAAGCAACGAACGCCCATGCAGGGCAATGCAAACCACCACGAGACAATGCCAAGCAATGCAGAACCGTGTGAAGAAAGCACGACAACGCAACGCAATGCAATTGCAAAGCAGCGTTATTGTAATGCTACGACGCAAAGCAATACAACGTAACGCGAAACAGCGCAAAGGAATGCGAAGCCATGCAAAGCAATGCAAAGCAATGCAAAGCAATGCATAAACAGTCCGCGATGAGGCGACGGGCGGGGACGAGGCGGCGACGGCGGCCACATGGCGGACATAGCGGCCCGCAGGCCACGGGCGGCGACGAGGCGACGACGGCGGCCACAAGGCGGCCAGAGCGGCCCGCAGGCCCAGTTCCTGAGAAAGCAAAGAATTAAGAACCCCCCAGCGCAAACACTGGCACTAGCTGGGGAAACGACAACACATTGTTTTGGGGTCGCAGCGGCGCTGGCCAACGCCGCGGTCGGAGGCAGCCGAGGGACACCAAGGGGCCCAACTGGGCACGGCAAGAAAGAAATGCGCGGGCGCGGGGGGGGAGGGGGGCGGAGCACGCTTGGAGCAGGAAATCCTTGGACATGTGTGCAGGAAGCACGGCAAGCACAACGGCCAGATGCGGAAGAACATACGAATGGAACTCGAACCCAGGGGGCAACTTTTGAGCCCGCGGACGCCAAAATGTCCAAGACAGTCTGACGCTGGTCAGCAAGCGGTGGGCTGCACCGGAAGCGAATTGAGGGACGAAGGCGAAAAGGAAAGAGCGCGTAATATCCGGGGGGAACACAACAAACGCAAACAAAACAAAACTGCGGGCGGCTTGGTGTCGGCGGGGCGCCCATAAATCGTCAAGTCCCAGGGAGGTCAGTGCGCACCCCGCCCGCAGCCTCGCCGCCAGCACCCCCGCAGGATGAGGAAAGGGAGGAGAAAAGGGAGGATGAAGTGGAGGAAGAGGAGGAGGAGGAGGAGGAGGGTGGAGAAGGAGGAGGGTGGAGAGGGAGGAGGGCGGTAGAGAAGAAGGAGGGAAGACCGCAGAGGAAACCAAGCCTCATTGCCGCACCGTTTAACCGATCCCTATCCCCACCGCCGCGGCTTTGGAGGGGTGGGCTGGTGGGGCTGAGAAACCATGGCCCAGAGGGGATGGGAATCGGTTGGACGATGCGGAAGCAGAGCGACTCAACTGCTGCTATCCAGAAGCTCTGGAGAAGCCAGCGCCCGTGGAAAAGCAAGCTTCGCTTCGATTCGTCATTCCTCCTCTTGGGGCATTTTCATAGATCTCGGCTACTGGGGGCCGTTTTCGGCCCCTGGTGCGCTCAAAAACCGATCATGGATGAAAAACTGTCCCACGGAAGGGCCTCAACTGCAGTCTCCCAGGGCCCTTGTCTGGCACTGTTGCCATCCATAACGGATGCGGACGACAAGCTGTCCCCAGAAGGGGTCGGAACCTCTGGGGCCGGGGGTTGAGAAATCACATCGGTGGACGTCTGGGTACCAGTACTCCCTGGGCCTCTCCTGGGGCGCGTTCTGACCCACAGCTCGAGGGGAACACACACCCGTCGGGACGAGGGGCCCTCGAGAGCGCTTCTTTATGTTCGGCGATGACGGGCAACAAAAGGGGGGGGGGTCAGGGGGGAGAAGACGTAACGCCCCCCGCCGTGTGGCTCCGGCACCGCAGCCGCGCCCGCGCGCGCGACGCGACGAGCGACGAGCGACGAGAGACGACGACGACGACGTTGACGACGACGACGACGACGACGCAAGCAGCACGTAGGTGGCGATATGCCCCACTGCACCTGTGTACGCCACAACGCTGGCGTGCAACACAGCGCGCGCGTGCATACCACAGCGCCTGCGTACACCGCAACAACCGTGTGCAAAGCAGCGCCTATGTGCACCACAGTGCTTGCGTACACTACAGCGCCAGTGTACACGTGTACACCGCAGCTACCATGTGTAACACAGCGCCTGTGTACACCACAGTGCTTGCGCGCACCGCAGCGCCTGTGCACGCCACAGCGCGTGTCTACACCACAACATCCGCGTGCAACGCAGCGCTGGTGTACACTACAGTGCCTGCGTGCATAGGACAGGTAGAAGGAGCATGTACGTGAGGATTTGCTGCGGACAACTAGACGCCAGGCCAGGAAAGTGCTGATAATCGAATGCGACGTTCTTCCCTCCTCCCTCCTCCTCCACCTCTACCACCTCCTCCTCCTCCTTCTCCTCCTCCTCCTCCTCCTCATACTCCTCATACTCCTCCTCCTTCTCTTCTTTTTCTTCCTCCTCCTCCTCCTCCTCCTCGTCCTCCCCCTCCTCCTCCTCCTTACCCCCCGTCGTGCGGGTTGGCGCTACAGCGCACGTGCGCATCTCAGCGCACACCGCATAATGGTTTACTGAATCGGTCCACTTATATTTCGCGGACGGCCAATTTACCTGGAGCCTCCTGGACGCAGATGGGAGGATTTAGGTGATGCGGGCGGACTCGGGAGGACTCATAGATTCCAGCGGCGCTCCGTTGTCCATAAGGATGTGGTTCCTTCGTTTTTTGTGGAATCCACAAAGGCTCCATTTTGTCAGAAACATTTGTTCTGACATTCTATATGCAACAATGGTGCTGTGTTGCACACGGTTGCTGTGGTGCACACCAGCGCCGTGGTGCACACAGGCACTGCAATGCACGCAGGCATTGTGGTGTACACTGGTGTTGTGTTGCACACGGCCGATGTGGTGTACGCAAGCGCTGTGGTGTGCACAAGAGCTGCTGTGCCCGCAGGCACGGTGGCACAAAACTGACGCTGTGTTGCACGCGACCGCTGTGGTGTACATTGGCGGTGTGGTGTACACAGGCGCTGTGGTGCACGCGGGCACTGTAGTGCACACGCGCGTTGTGATGCAAATCGCCACCTATATGCTGGCGCGACCCGTCCTCCGTCATTCCTGGGCATTCCCATACGCCGCCGGCGCGAAACGTGAAGTCATCGACCCCCTCCACCCCCCCCTAGATGATTGCCGTCATCGGCCCGGAATGAAAAACAGGCTTCAGCCGCGTCCGCGCGCACGACGACTATGAGCGACGAGCGACAAGCCACGGACGACGACGACGACGACAACGACGACGACGACTACGACTACGACTGCGGACCATACTCCTATGCGGATTCCTACGCGGACACCTACGCGGATCCCAATGCGCAAGGCGGCAGTGCCCGGAGCGCACTGGGGAGCGACAAGGAGAGAAGGGGGTATCGGTCTCGATGATCCTTCCCCTCTGACATCGGGGACCCATGCCAGGAACCCAGGCACAGCCTTCTTGGATGAAGTCGTGGATGTACTTCATGTACAGGTAGTACGTGGCCACCGCATCGGACACCGAATACGCGGCGAGCTCCTGTGGTCGCTCCTTGGCGAAGGGTGTCATGTCCTCGGGGTCGAGCTCCACGGGATCATACTTCAGCTTGTAGCGCGTCACTGCCTTCAGACCTGTGGGTTCCAGAAGCTGGCAGGCCTGGGCCAGGTCGAATCGCGAAACCGGATCGGATCGGGAACGGATCGGATGGCCAACGAGTCGCCCTGAACCGAATCGAAATCGATTCGCCGCGCCCGGCTCTGGCTGGCCCCTGGCCGATGCTGGTGCATCGAGCCAACTCGAATCGAGCCAATCGTGGGCCTAGTCCGCGAATCGAATCGCACCGATTCGGATCGCAGGCGGGCCTGACGAGTGTAGGGAGAGAATGATGTTATGACAAGATTGGCTCTGGGTGCGTTCCAGGATTGCCAAAGAGGATCCAGCGGCGCAGCCGGTACGCAACTTTAGGAAATATGGGACACCCTGGAAACCTGGGAAATCCTGGAATGCGTTATTATCGTAATTTCCTTAGGCGTCCACATGTGATCCGTACCCCCCTCCCCCAACCATTTCTACAGGGGGGTGGGGGTTCACTCCGCTTGGGAGCTCCCGAACTAAGTGAGCCCCCACCCCCCTTTAGAAATCGTGGGGGGCGGTGGCACTCTTGCTCTTCCGATGATGGCCTCAGAGACCCAAGAGGAGCATGTACGCAGAAAGCGACTCTGCACCACCACGCCCGGCCAGGGCCTTCCTGGGCCCCAGGATGGTGTACATACCGTTTGGACCTTGGCCAGGCACAGCGGTGGTGTACAGCTCAAATGCCTTTTGCAGCGCATATTTCTGATCAGATACACGGACCGCCACCACAGAGATTCCATCAATGGGGGGGCGACACTTTGGCGGTGGCACGCCCGAGCTTCCTTCCAATACAAGATGACGCTCAAGCGTGCCACCACCGCCCAGGGGCTGGTTCCTCATCGACGAGTTCTCGGTGGCGGTGGTCCATGTTCCTCCTCTGAATATTGAAGGGGTAAGGTTGGCGCTGATGTCCCATAAACTCAACCGTAACTCCTGGGGGAGGCCCCGCCAGGAAATCATCCGCATCTCATCAACCAATGGAGATGGGCATGTTCGCGCCCCGATGACCGCGAGCCCCACATGGCAAGTACGAATCGCGCTGCACCCAGGCAAAGCAATCAAGATGCACAATCCACTTGCCTACGTAGTAGTCTCCCCCGCTCTCTACCTTCGCTATGCCTGACTCGGACTCCCAATCCAAGTTGTGCACTTTAGCGCGATTTGTAACGAATGGATAATCGAAAAAGTCGCCGTTGAAACTCACCATCACATGCGGATTCGTGTCTTGTGTGAGCTTGAAAAATCGCTTCAGCAAGGCTGCCTCGTCTTCCTCGTTGTACGTTTGAAACACTCCTTCAAACTCTGGTTTCGGCGTGTACTCCAATGGCTCGATGTCAGCCGAGACCTCTGCCCTGTTCACAATGAGGAAGCCAGAGCCATCTACCATGACTGAAATCATTGTGATCCTATCGTGAGCGGAGTCTGGGAATTTCAAAGGCTCTTTGGTGCACTCGATGTCCCAAGCGAAAATTCGCAGACCTGGCTTATACAGCATGTCCTCCTTCGCGGTCACAATGCATTGGGTGTCCCAGATGTCATCTGCACTAGTTGCCATTTGCTTACGCTCAACGTCGAACCACCTCCCACAATTGATCTTTTTGTCAATGCAAACACGATTGATGTAGTCGACGTCAAACTCGTAAAGCTGCTCTATGCTTTCCATTGCAGAGACTGCCTTGCCCTGTGCGGTAACAGCGAACGACACACAGACACATTCTTCAAAAGACGCAGCACGGTGCGCACCGACCAAAAGGCCCCCTGGTGTGCAGATCCCATGCGCACGTAACATCTGTGAGACGCAACTTGAATGGAATGTAACATCAACACCTGACGACAGCGACAATGCAGAAGCATAAACGAACACATGAGGCACACTCAAAAGAGCAATGTGCAATCGTGAAATGCGCAACTTGACCTGACATGCCACATTGTGCCAGGATGCATACATCACAGCTCATACAGACCATGTATATCCGCCACGGCGTGGTAGAATGCCAGTGGATGGCCCCAAGGCGGCCCAAGACGGCTTCACGACGGCCCGAAATGGCTCAAAAAAGGCCTCCCCAGAGGGCCACAAGAAGACCTCACGTAGGGCCCGAAGCGGCCAAAAACATCAATTGCTTTTGAAACGTTGAAAAAAATCGCATTCTCGCCTTTTCTGGCGTCCGTCAGCGCAAGACGGCCCAAGAAGCCTCCAACATGGCCCGAGGACAACCCAAGAGAGTCCCAAGACAGCCCAAGGGACCGGGACCGCCATGCTGACCCAAGAGGCCGACGCCTACAAAACTGCCCCAAGACGGCACACGAAGCCGGAGAAACACAAGACGACCTTAGAAGACACTTCGACGGCCCAAGACGGCGCCAAAATTGCCACTCGACGGCCCCGAGATACCCTTCATCCGGCCAAGAGGGCCTCAACACGGCCCAAGAGCAACCCAAGATGGCCTATGAGGGCAGCCCCCAAGGGGCTCAAATGAGCACCATGAGAGCTCCCCAAGGAATGAAGACGACTGGTGTCAAACTTGCCCCCCCTCCACTTGCTCTTCCTCATCCTCATCATCATCCTCATCATCCTCATCACGGCTCTCCCAAGCTTGGAGGTCCGAAGTGTCACACGTGACGGCGTCCCGTACCCCCATCGAACATCCGCCACCCAGAATGTTGGGCTGGCACAGTGGCAGGCCTTGCAGCAGGCAGCTATAAGACTGACGGAGCACCGATACGGAGGTAGGGGGGAACTAGCGACGGGACGGCCATCTCTATCCATCGAACAACCTCGATCGGTCGATCAATCGATCGATATCCCGATATGTTTATCTTGACGTATACCATGCCACTATATCTATAACACATCATATGTACAGGCCGATCGCGCCACACCGTATGTCTGTACGTTTGTTTTTGTTAAGGTACATTTTGCCACGAATGCATCGAGCTCAACATGTATACATACACAGATATATATATATATATATATATACACTAGAACCATCGCGCGCGTCGCGCGCGCTCGAAATCTAGCTAGGTTCGACACGCCAACGCATGGAATCTCAATTGTTGAAATGCCTTGTGCATCGAACGACCTTCTTGGAGTCCCTGCGCAAGCCTCGGAAGCGTATAGAAGGGGAAATGCGGAAACGACCAAATCATCCATCTCCTTTATGTGTTCCACGATTTGGGGCCCTCGGAGGTTTCCTGGGATCTTACTTTGGTGGTGACGAGGGCATTACTTATGGCCTGGTGTGCAAAATTAGGCAAGAGGTGAGTTTGAAAAAGGAATTCGGATACTTCCCTTGTTTCACATTGCCATGCTTGGGCTGTGGGGCAGAAGTCTCCGGGATACAGGCCATGGTCTGTGGGGATGGACCTCGGGGCCTTTTCGGCGGCGTCTTGGAGGTCTTTCGGGGCCTCGTTGCCGGCTCGTGGTGCCTCCTGGGAGCCTCGCGGGAGTCTCCGCAGGCATCTGTGGGGCGCCTCGAGAACCTCTGGGAGAACCTTGGGGCCACCTTGGGGCAAAGCGCTCGTGAGGCTTTGGAAAGAACCCTCGTTTGTCTCTTTCTTGGCGCGCGCGCTGACGTTCTAGCTAAGCTGGACAGGTGAACTCATGGGATATCGATGTTTTACGGTGGTTTCAGGGGCAGCCAAGAGGACACGAAGACGACCCAAGAGAGTGCCAAGACAGCGTGAAAGAGTTCAAAAGTATTCCAGACAAATCTTTGCAATGTGACCCTGAAGTCTTGATGGGGCTCGGGACGAACTTGAACAAAAAGAATATCACTGGATTGTCATTTTTCAAGTGGGGCCTCCTAACATGCCTAAGAGGCGTGCACGGGGCTCGGGGGAGACAGTTTGGAGGCCGCTGGGGGGCTGCTTCCGGGCCTCTTGGAGCTATTTGGGGGCCTCCTTGGGGCTCTTGAGGGCCTCTTCAGGCATTTGGGGGACTCTTGGGGCCTCCTGGGGGCCTCTTGGAGCGAAAAGCCGGGCTTATCGATTTGCGTTCCCCCTGTTGGGCGGCTTTTCGGGCCATCGTGGGGCTCTCTTGGGCTGCCTCGGGGCACTCTTGGGCTGTCTTGGAGCCTTCTTGGCCCGTCTTAGAGCCATCTTGGGGGCTCTTGGGCGGTCTTGGAGTGGTCTTCGGGGCCTTTTCGGCCGTCCTGGAGCGTTGGAAGCTCGAAAACACGAGAAGGTTAAAACTTCAGAAAAAACATGGAAATCAACGATTCAGGCCTCTTGGGCGCTCCCAAGACGCCTCTCGGAGCTCTCTTGGGGCCTCTCGGAGGCAACCTTGGAGCCTGGAGAGCCGTCGGAAGTCTGTCTTGGGCTGTTTGGGAGCGTCTTGGACTGTCCTTTCGCGTTCTGGGAGCTCCTTGGGGGCGTCTTGGGCCGTCCTGGGGCGTTTGGGGGCCTCCCTGTGAGGCCCAGGGGCGCGGTACCAGGAGTTGCCCCTAGATGTTCCGGAGGTGGGGGACGCTCTTGGGGGAGGGGGGGGCGTATTGTATTTAGTTATGTGTATATATATATAGAGAGATGTGTGTATATATTAAAATATATGTATGTATATATTTATATGTATGTACACATATATGTGTGTATATATATACACGTGTGTAAGATTTGCTGTTTGAATCGACGGTTCGATCGATATGATTGCTGATCGATCTACGTATCGGCCTCCGTATCTATACACCCAATCCCACTATCGATCAATCAATCTACCATCGGGACAGCCATCGGGACAACCATCGGGACAGCCATCGGGACAGCCATGGGGACAACCAACGGGGCAACCATCGGGACACCCAGCGGGACAACCATCGGGAAACCATCGGGGCAACGATCGGAACAAACATCGGGACAACCATCGAGACGACCATCGGGACATCCAACGAGACAACCAGCGGGACAACCATCAAGACAACCATCGGGACCTCTCTCGGGACAACCATCCGGGCATCTTTCGGGACAACCATCAGGACAACCATCGGGACAACCATCGGGACATCCATCGGGACAAACAGCGGGACAACCATCAGGACAAGCATCGGGACATCCCTCCAGACAACCATCGGGACAGCCATCGGGACAACCATCGGGACAACCATCGGGGCACAAATCGGGACAACCATCGGGAAATCCATCGGGGCAACCATCGAGAAAACCATCAAAACAAACATCGAGACAGGCACGGGGGCAAGGACCGCCAGCAGGGACGGGGAAGAGGCTTTTGCTCCGACCTCGCCCTGGCGACGGTGGGATCACTCCCCTCGCCCGCGCTCGCAGCTTCAATTCGCCCGCACGCTCGTCACGAGCACGAAACTGAAACCGATGTCCTGGTGAGGGGTGTCTTTTTCACGTCGCCACTCCCAACCCTCCGACATTCATAGATCGCCAGAGGTCAATCCAGCAAGCATGTTCTAGAGTATCTCCAGGGCTCGCTAAAGCAAGCTGGCCCTCAACTAGGGCCCCCAATCACAAACGAGTCCGCCGACCCTGTCGTCCTGAGAGACGCTTTTCCGTTCGAGGCTGCCCCCCGTTTCCCTGCACCTGAGGTCTTCCAAACTCGCTAGGTGAACCGAACCAGGTCGTAACCGAATGAAAGAAAACCATTCGCTTTGATCCCTTCCCGCCAGGGGGGGGGTCTCCAAGAGCCCCCATACATGCAACCAAGGCCTCTTGGACACGACCCAATCGCGGTGCCGGGATGGGCCGAATACATTGAAGCCCCCGCCCTCGCATCAAAGCCGCCAATGCCCCTTGTCCCGGTTGCTTCCACCTCGTGCGCCAAAAGTTTTTCGTTCTCAGGGTCAGCAGAACCAGCCGTGCGGTCATTGCAATGGCCTCAGGAGCTTGTCACACATGTCAAGTGCTGCAACATATCCCTCGCAAGCAAACTGGCCATGCATCATAACACATAAGCACGGGAAGCTATGCCGACGTCCTTGTCCGGAGCGTCAAAGCTGAAGGATTCGGTGTTCCGCTTCTGCCTCATCTCTCTCGAAAGGTTGTTTCTAGCTTTGGACATACCATCCACGTTTTCAAAAGAAAGCTTGATGAGCTTCCTCGAGCGTCCAACGATATGATCTTCCAAGTCAAGGTCCTCTTTGTCTACCACTTCTGCGAACACGCCTTCGTTCGCAAACCTGTCGGCAAGAATGTCCTTCATAGTTGCGACGCTCTGCTTGCTGCTAATCTGGACGAAGAAATATG